CTCATCACTGCACTGTATAAAATGAATATCATATATTAATAAAATAGTAAATGGGACATTGTTCTTGGGACTAAATTACTCTTTGGTGATGTGGAAACACTTGTAAAAGACCAGAAGAAATAATTTGAAGGGATTCAAAATAGGGCTTTTAGCTGTTTAGCCTCTTCTTATATCAGACACCATCAATTTAGAAAGATCTTTTCAAAAATGTATCAAAAATCTGTGACCTTCAACAAAAATGCTCAGACATCTTCAACAGTAAACATGAAAATTTGGTTCTCTGACATTAGACACTGATAACCATGCTGATCAGATAATGTATTTTGGCACATGATATTTGAGTACAAACCTCAGTTCACTTCAAGACTTTTTGTAGTAGAAGCAGGTGTCCTATAGATAATATGAGATTCACAAGTATGCATTTGAAAATAAAAACAAAATATAACACAAAACAAAGGTAAAACTGTAGCCAGCCAGTCTGATGAAAAATGAAAGAAAATAACGAAAATATAATAAGAAGCAGGATTCTTTAAAAATTTGCTCAAATAAAGAAATAAAAAAGGTTATCAACTCAATCAGTTTTTGACTTTTCAACAGTAGACTGTAATATTTTGCTTCAAGTATTTCATCTATATAATGACATTCGATGTTGAGTATATGAAATACAGAATGTTTGATAATAACTAAGCAGCTGAAGATGCGTGTAAAATGTAAGTTGAAGTCAACTGAGAATTTGAAATCATAGATGAATACTTCCGCTCGAAACAAATCATCAACTGAATTTTCTCGTTTTAACCTGAACATGGTGATAAATGGAGAACCTGACTGGATAGAAATGCTGAGACTAAATGTATTTTTGGATAATGAAATTGACTAGATATATATAGGATACATATATAAATATATACACAATATAATACAATTAATATTAGTTCATTGTTTAAATTACATTTACAATCAAATACAATTATGAACAGTTGAAATAATTCTTAGATATCTATCCAGTCAAACCATATTCACTGTATTCAAGAATTTTTATCCTGGAATTAGAATTTCTTTAAGATATTGAGCCTAATGCTAAGGTATATAGGATTTGGCATTTATGATGTCACCAAGGTTTTTGGCCAATCATATTGCACTGTGACATAATCAGAGTCTCCTCTTTCTAGTTTTACATAGTAAAAGATAAACTGGATAGATAACTATAGGATGTCAATTCATTGTAGTTATCATTAGAAACTTTAATCATTAATCAAAAAATAAACTTTCTTAATGAGGTATTTAAATAAATTCTGAACCATTAATATGGTATGATATAAAACATTAAGTTTATGTCTATGATATTTCTTACCTCTGAAAACACAATCAAATAATGGTAGACATTACAAAGTAAATTCAAGTCATCAGATTTTTCAGTCTCATAATCAGAGTTACTTCCCTTTACATATAAAGATATGAACAGTCTTGCTTTGAAAATCCATTTCTTATAAATCTTATAAACTAAAACTACTATAAACTGATCTTGATTTCTACTTCATTTAGTCCTGATCAAAGACAAGTCTCGAAATGATATTTGAGCATCAGGTTAAAGGTACATTCCGCTTTTTTTGTGGGTCGAAAATATTTTTTGCCCAAATTTATGAAGACTATACACCAAAATCTAGAGAAATGTGTCCCTTGAGGTATCTGAAAGTTTAAGCCGTTAATTTTTTAAAGCCAAAACTATTTATGAACATTAGGTAAGGTTTCTAAGCTCATTACGCTTATTGGAAACTGTTGGAAAACTACTGTACAGATTTAAGAAAAATAAACGCTTAATTATAGAGAAATATATCTCCTATGTATTCTACACTATTTCAACTAATAATATCCAGCCATTATAAACGCCAAGACAAGGTAAAATTGCTTAATTAACAATTTGTACTCTCCGTTTTTAATTAAGCCTTTTAAAACAAATTCAGTTTGATCAAGTAGATACATAGATGTAGATAGAATACTTTAGAAATATCTTGAGGTATAATTTTTGATAATGAAAATGTTTTACAAAAAAAGCGGAATGCCCCTTTAAGCAAGGAACTTGATTTGTGGAGTAAAAAATAAATACATCCCCTCAGTTTTATTTCAAGTGAAACATTTAAGATTTTATTCAGACACAATTCAGATAAATTTGTTCAACCTTGTCAAATACAATTAAAATTCGAACTTTCACATTAATTTTTGCAAAAAGAAGGAATGTCTTTAGTCAAAAATTAGTTCAAAAATGTCAATGTGAAATGTTAGTAACTTATAGAACTTTTGACAACAAACATTGACCAGAACACATTATATAACATTTAACATCATTGACACCACAGTGTATCAAATAAAAACTACCAGTGTTTTTCAATCAGACTGATATCATGTGAAATACTGGGTTCCAGTCAAAAGATTGGCAACTTAAACTTTCAAAACATAAACAAGATTAGGCTTTCATTTCCTTGTTCATTGTGTTCATTACCAATAAAACTAATTCAAAATAAAGTGATTAATATAGTCTCCAGATGTGCGTAAATATTTATGCCCAAATGAAATTAATCAAATCTATTACTTCAGAAATGTCTTGTATTTAGCATTTCTAGTGATTTTTTTCAAAATACGTATGTGTTTAGAGTACAATGTTAAAAGCAGACTGCTCAGTCAGTGAATATATTGTGATATGATATTACATACTTAAAAATAATACCTGTATCTACAATGATTCCATGTACTATGTATATATATATATATACACATGTGGACAGATAAAAATAAAAATATAGAACAAATATAAGACAAACAAATAATTGAATTATTATGCTTATGTAGGAAACCAGCCCACACTGTACCATAAAAAATTGTTATGAGGTTTTTATAACAACTCTAAATAACAATATAGTAATACTCTATTATAGGTCATATATTATATATATATATTGAATGGGATTAAAAAGCTTGCTTCAATTTTGAAAACACTCTTAAAATATTTTTCACTGTTATGTATCAGAACTAAATAAAATAGGAAAAGTGCTTATCATTTAAGCTGAAGTATTCCAGAACATGAGGTCATATGACAAGAATCTCTACTATGAACATGTCAACAAGCCAAGTATCTTCTTTTTCAAATCATTGTAGCCTTTTTATGATTCCACTCAAACATAAAATATATTTTTTTCATAATTCACTCATATTATTTCTATATTATAATTTGAAAGCTGCAAGTTAAATTTCAAAGAAATAGTTAATTTTAACACATTTAGCCCAGCAATAGATCTATCTTCCTACATAACATAAACATTGGATGATATATTTTGATCGCTTAAAACATGACAGAAATACATTATTGAGATAGGGCTTACTCAACCAGTTGTCAAGAGCTCAGTTCTTTAAAAAGATAAAGGTCCCATCAACTGATCGTTAGATTCCAATCAGACTTATTTCAACAAGATTCAATATCTCACTGTAAGGTATAAATACAATTACTTGTACAAAATCTGACTGTCCCCGATCCCCTATGTTAAATACATAAAGTAATTCTATACATACTACATTTCTGAGACACTAACCTACTAATAAACAGAGCACACACAGAAACAAAACATTTCTTGTTCCATTATTTCTAAATCATTGTTTGTGGGTATGTAAACTTATCCAGTTTATAAATGAATCTTGGACTTTTATTTCTATCTAGGATAGCCTAAATTTAATTTCTCAATCTGATTTTTCTTCTTTGTTTGAATGATTCAATATTTCAGATTATGAATACATTACAAATATTTTTTATTCTAAATATATCATGTGACAGGTGACAGTTGTGGAGATAAATAACATCTTTTATAACCAAATTATCTGCTAATTAGGTCACTAGGTATTTCCATATACAAACTGTTAACATCTGTTTCACACTTCATTAGTCAATATGTGACTATTATCACTTCTATATTTACAACTTGGGCAGAAAATGTTGAATAAACAAATTTGCCAGACATTCAAAAATAACAGATTCAGTAATTTATTCTTAAACTATCTAATATTTATTCTTGACTGTTTGATTTACATGTCTTTTAAAATTCAACTTGAAAATATAATACTTGGCTGATATACAGCTACCATCTGATCAAACAAAAGATCATTCTATAAATTTTAAATTTCATATTAAAAAGACTTGTTTTTGATGTGCTCTGTTGTCTATATCACTCAACTTTTAAATAATTAATTCTTTATCTACAACATTACATATATTAGCATTGCACCAAAATTGTGGTCACCATATTACTATAAATAGAAACCACTCCTTACATACAGCTGTAGTTTACCTCTCAATCAACTACTCAAAAATATGGTGGTCACTTCCACCATCATTCACTCCACAATAGTTGTCTTATCATAAAACACAAAGATAAACTAAGATCTTCTAGCAGTGTTAACAGATCTTGTTCTCCAATCAAATATCACTTGAAAATCTATTCAAATAATTCAACGCTTTAACGCCTATCTTTTATTTCTTCAAAATTTCTCTCAAATTGTTGAATTATTGAATTCGGATTCTTTCTAATGAAAAATGAAAGCCATTCACTGTTTCCCATACTGTTAAATCTGACTTTCATTATTCAATCTGACCAAAATCACTGATTTTTAAAATCTGATCCCATCACTGACTTTCGTTACTCAATCTTGTCCAATAACTAATTTGTATAATTCAATCAGATCCAATCACAAATTTTCAGAATTCTAATCCAATCATGGATTTCAAGTTTCCAATTTGATTTCATCACTGAGTTCCAGTAATCAATCTTATCTGATCACTGAATTTCAGAATTCAATCTGATCCAATCAGAGATCTTCAGAATAAAAACGGATCCAATCACTAACTTCCATGTAAACAGTCATTGATTTTAAGTATCGCTTCTTATTTTTACATACTCATTCCTATTATTATTATTCATCCTTCAAACCAATCCATTACTCATCCTTCTAACCAATCAATTACTCATCCTTCAAACCAATCAATTACTTGTCCTTCAAACCAATCAATTACTTGTCCTTCAAACCAATCAATTACTTGTCCTTCAAACCAATCAATTACTTGTCCTTCAAACCAATCTATTACTCGTCCTTCAAACCAATCAATTACTTGTCCTTCAAACCAATCTATTACTCATCCTTCAAACCAATCAATTACTTGTCCTTCAAACCAATCCATTATTTGTCCTTCAAACCAATCAATTACTTGTCCTTCAAAACCAATCAATTACTCATCCTTCAAACCAATTCATTACTCATCCTTCAAACCAATCAATTACTTGTCCTTCAAACCAATTCATTACTCATCCTTCAAACCAATCTATTACTCGTCCTTCAAACCAATCAATTACTTGTCCTTCAAACCAATCTATTACTCATCCTTCAAACCAATCAATTACTTGTCCTTCAAACCAATCCATTATTTGTCCTTCAAACCAATCAATTACTTGTCCTTCAAAACCAATCAATTACTCATCCTTCAAACCAATTCATTACTCATCCTTCAAACCAATCAATTACTTGTCCTTCAAACCAATCAATTACTTGTCCTTCAAACCAATCTATTACTCATCCTTCAAACCAATCAATTACTTGTCCTTCAAACCAATCCATTACTCATCCTTCAAACCAATTCATTACTCATCCTTCAAACCAATCAATTACTCATCCTTCAAACCAATCAATTACTTGTCCTTCAAAACCAATCCATTACTTGTCCTTCAAACCAATCCATTATTTGTCCTTCAAACCAATTGATTACTCGTTCTTCATAACAGTTCATTACTCTAGCTTCCAACAAATTCTTTACTCGTTCTTCAAAGCAATTCATTACTTGTCCCTCAAATCATTTTATTACCGGTACTTGTCCTTCAAATCATTTCCTTATTTGTCCTTTAAACAAATTCATTACTTGTCCTTCAAACAAATTCATTACTTGTCCTTCAAACAAATTCATTACTTGTCCTTCAAACAAATTCATTACTTGTCCTTCAAACAAATTCATTACTTGTCCTTTAAACCAATTCACTTGTCCTTCAGGTTATTTCTGCACTCTAGCTTTGTTCCCCATATATAATTCAATAAGACTATTTCTGAATTCATTTTGATGTTTTAGATGGGTGTAGTTCATTCAGGCGAACTCATTCTGATAATTAGTGTTCATATAGACCAATTATAATGTGCACAATGACTATTATAAGCTTTTAGTCATGTTATGATAAGGGTGGAAAATCACTGGTAACAGGAGGTAGCACTGTAAAAACACATACTGTCCATTGAACAACACTCACATTCACTTGTACACTTCAACTTGACAGATGATAGATACAGTTCCTTATACATGCTTCACAGTATTAGGCAAATACAGAACACAATATTTCTTTGAAACAAAAATATAAGTTGGGACATTGAAGTTTCATATCAGGAACTGCTCTGCATCAGACATCAGAGCTGAATGGCAAGCAGATGCATAATATTTATTGAAAATTTGCACACGATAAAATTGTTAAGGGACTGGAACAACATACAAGTAATTGTCAATGTAAAAACAGTCATGTAGACACAAAATGGTCTTTCACGGTGTAGAATACATTCATGATGCATGGTTTAATGTTGAAACAGATTTATTTTTTTTCTTTTATCCAACGAAATAACTGCTTCTATATATCACATGCCCTCACTCTGAAAATTACAGGTTTCCATTGTAACCATGACACAATAACTTAAACAGAATGTTTTGTGAGTTCTTAGTAATATTAGTTTCTCCTAGGAATATATATCACGATGCTGAAAAGATAAAATACCATAAAATTTCCAATGGCAACAAAAAGTAAAAAAAAAATTGAAATAAAATATAGGGTCTACTCTTCCAATGAATATGATAAGAAAGGACAAAATAATTGTTCCTGTAATTTAAGAAGCACCAGATTGCTTATAAATCAAATATTTTCACAAAGAAATAACTCATACCCGATTTCGTCGAAATAACCTATCAAAGAATCCTCTTTGTGGGGGAGGAGGTGGTTGGTCTTCTATAAGATCTGGGGAAGGTTCACCATCAGGACCAAATTGATTTAATTCTTTAAAACATTCTGTTTCAATCATCTATAATTTAAAGTAATAAATCAGGTAAATCAATGTAAGAAGAGTAATCCACTTTAATTTAAAGCATATTTGAAATCAAATTGTCAATTACTTAAAATAAAGCCTGCTGTTGTTTATGTTTAGAATTGTCCCCATAAGGGCACAAACATCTATATGTCTGCATGTAAGTACCAATCCACATGTTTGTTAACAGTATAACTGTTACCTCTCATTACCAATAATTGGTTCAAGATTGTAGACAACTGATTCTAATGGATACATTTTCATCTATAATGTCGGTGGCAGAAATTAGAACTTGCCATTACAACCAGAATTTTTCGAAAGTCAAGATTTAACAAAACATTACAAGATGTAACAACCTACAAAAATTCAGTTTATTTTGGTCAGTTCAGAAGACAACTTACCTCATTTTGCCATGGTATTGAAACGCTGCCTGTGTTAAATTTTATATAAAATGTATCATCACTTGCATCTAAATTAACACCCTTTACTGTAGAGAATTGTTCTATATCTAACACATCTTTACAATATACTGCTCGTGGCTACAATGCAAGAAAAAATTATTCAAAATCACCATTGAAATATTAATGAACAACCTGACTTCATAAGGAAAGGAGACATATAACTGAATCCATTTCTTTTATAAACAAATTATCTACAAAAAGACAATCAATTTATTAAGTTCAACAAGTCAATTTCCTTGCTATATGCAATCAGTAAATTTTGTCAGGGGAAGATGGTATCTTTAATATTAAACTTCTATTTCCTGCTATTCAGGAGTTGCAACATTAGCTATGGAACACAAAGGTACTGGACATTGTCTTGATCACCATGGCAGTTTGGTAGGAGAGAAGGTGATTAACTAACCAACTGAAAATAGCTTTCAATACTCACATCAGGGAAAAATGGTGGCTCCCACATCCCAGCTTCTAATCTCTTAAAATTTATAGTTTTAAAAAAATTGTGAGCTTTGACTTCTTTGGCACCTTGATTATGTGAACAGCACCCTAACCTCTCTGACGGATTTTTCTTTAATAACTGTAAAACATCCAAAAAACAAAAGAAGAAATTTAGGCAAGCATACAGCAGATAGTACTCTTAACAGACATTCCTCAGTGGTTTCAAGGCAAAACAACATGAATTCTGTTAAAACAGTAATTCTGTCAATAAATTCAAAGATGAAAAAACAAATTGCCTACCTATATATCAGCCATATAAAAAAAACAGATAAGCTTATACAAAATATTTTTTACATTTTTTTCTACTCCAGTTTTGGCTATTGAAGTTGGTTTACTCTTTTTACAATTTCCAATTCAATTAGTAAATGAAAAAAATAACAAGGAAACTTACACCTGAGCATATAGAACGACATTCTTCGGAGAATTTAGATGAATAAATTTCTTGATCTTCTTTCACTCTTCTATCAACTTCTTCTCTTTTAACTTTCTCTTTTCGTGCTCGGAATGGTGACTAGAACAACAAGAATATTCAATAATTCTGCTGATTCTCAGTTATGATAAAATCATAAAAGAATTGAATTATATTTCCTGTAAGTTATTGGGTTAATGAAGACCCCAAGCAGTGTACAATGAAGGATCTTTAGGCGTAACTGAGAGCTCTTGATAGTCAACTTATTATTAGTACATTTCTATATTTTCTATATTTCATGAGCAATTAGACCTTATCTAAACATTTCAGCAGACAAAAAATTAAAACTCTTAATGGACTTGTTGTAAAAAATATAAAATATGACTAAAAATTACCTGTGCATAGCAAAACAAGGTGTCTCAATTATAAAATTTAATGTCATTAACTGCTTTTAGACACATCAGAAAATAAAATAGATAACACATACCTTGCCTTCTATCATTTCATAAATAATACAGCCTAATCCCCACCAATCAGGACTAAATGTATATCTCTCATTTTTAACTACTTCAGGGGCTTAAATGAAGGGAAAGATTATTTTTATTACAGCAAATCTCGCAGTAGGTCCAATTGTAAAATGTATTTTATTTAATTGCTCTATCAAAGTTCACATGTTTCAAAGACATAAGAAAAATCTACACTTAGGTCTCCTGAAAAAAAACAAATGCATCCTATACTCCATTATACTCAAAAAATGAGAAAATTAGTTGGAGCTTGTTTTAGCAAAGACAGAAAAGGTAAGTCATCAATGCAAAACAAGTGTAATCACTTACCCATGTAACCAACAGTACCTACTCTCCCCCTTATCGTTTCACCATTAGGTATTTCTACTGCTAACCCTAAATCTGATATTCGTACATGACCTGACAAAAGAAATAAAATATTGAAATAGAACAATTTATTATTTTTTGATTTCTGGGTTCATTCTAAGACTCAATATAAGCATACAAATTGTGGCAATCATACATGTGGTAAGACATTTGTGCGTGGCTTGAAAATCAGTAATGTAATGAATGGAGTTTTACATCCTACTTTTCTGCACCATGTTGGCTAATGAAGACTGGCAACGCCATGCAGGGTGCAATGAGAGAAAGTTTGCCAGGACAGCGGCATTAGCCTGCTCTTTTCAACTGTCGAGGGATCTTTAACGTGCACACAGGGCCTCAGTTTATTGTCCCATCCAAATGACTAGACGCCTTTTCCATGTCAGCCCCTCTTACCTGTATCACTGACAGGGGAAATCGGATTGATAAGTCTGAAGGTATTATCTCGTCCTATGCCAGGATTGAACCCTGGATTTCCAGGTAAGCGAGCAAGAGACTAACATACTGAGCCAACGCAGCTCCCTTGAAAATCAGTAAATCTCATGATTTTCCTTTCATTAACTCTTAGCATTCCCAAAACTTGTTGAAAACAAAGAACAAAGAAGCCATAGAGACAAATTAGTCATATACAAGATGAAAATAAAGCTTACCATTGTCATCTAATAAGATATTTTCTGGTTTTAAATCTCTGTAATAGATTATTATAAACATAAAGGGATAGAGATATACAAAACTTCACTGTTCACTTAAGACATAATTCATAGGACAGTGTATTTGCAAAAAGGAAACAACACTATTTGTAGATTTCGGTGAATATACAGCCTAATGAAATATAACTCATTATACTCATTTACAATAGACTATAATGAATTTTTTAAAAAGGGTTAAAAGAACAAATGATAATTTACCAAAACAATTTGCATAGTCTTGCTAACTAGCACTGATAAACTTAACACAATATTACGCTTTAGTAAAATTCAAAATTTTTTATTTGCTACCAGATGCATGGTTCTTTAAATACAAATTTATGAAAATAAATGATTTGACAGTGTTAGAGTCATCAATGGTGTGACTTACCTATAAACAATGCCCTCCCGGTTTAAGTTTTCTAAGCCACAAGTAATTTCTGCAGCATAAAATACAGCTCTCTCCTCTACGAAGCCTGGATTGCCCATATTGTGGATATGAAATTTGAGATCACCACCATTCATTATGGTTAACACTAAACATAGAGCATCCTTAGTTTCAAATGCATAGGCTAAACTAACCTGAAATTAGAGATCATATAACTATCAAATTATCATTTATTTTAATTAATTTATACATTGTCAATGTTTTATTTAAAAAGTAAAACCCACAGTAAAAAAAGTTTTTTAACATGACATCTAGATATTCTTTGTTATATAAACACATGCAATGAGCTGTTATAGTGTAATTTACTCTGTAAATGTATAGATGTATGGGAGTGACTGGAGTCTATTTCAATGCACTAGAAATTGAATCAACAACAGGCCCTCAAGAGTTAACTCACCACAAATCTTGAATTTATCTTTTGTAATATCTGTTTTTCATTTAATGCCATGGCTTCACCTTTCCTTTTCTTTATTCTTTTCTTTTCTAATTTCTTACATGCATACATTTTACCTGTAGCCCTTACTTGACACGCACAAACTTCTCCGAAACCACCCTTGCCTAATACACGGTACATTCGAAATGTATTTTTGGTGATAGGCTGACTGAAATATAATCAATTCAATATAAACTTATAATACATCAGTCCTTATCATTTACTCAATACAAAAATCAATTGCCATTGACAAAAACAAAGGAAAACAGGAAACAAAAATTAACAGTTCTCAGAAAGGGACATATAAAAATCACATTGTGCTTTTTAATCAATCTGCACAATTAACCAGTCCTGGGAAAATAAAATCTTTTGTGTAAAAGATATTTCCGATATTTACAGATGAAAGTTCAAACATATCACATTGTATTTCAATTGTGTGATCTTAACTTACCTTTCTAACCACTTCCATTGTAGATAACGTTTAAAATACATACTTTCTAAAAAATCATTGAATGGGTCCGAGGTAAGATATTCTGTTAATACTCTGAAAAATATAAGATATATATATTTGGAGAACCACAAAATTTGAATGATGCAATTTGGTGCTATCAGTGTCCCTGATACACTTTATTAGTGTAAAAAACATCTTCAGAATTCTGTTAAAAACAGAAACAAGATAGCTTGCTTTGCTAGGTAACATACGCCTACTGGCAGCCGTCAGAAAAAATAAAACAGTCTTTAGTGACAAAAGTACGAATTTTCTCATATTGAAATAATTATTCATGATGAATAATTCCACAAAATTTTTTAAAATCAATATCAATAACCCAAATACAACAAACAATTAAATCACACAGCTCTAATCAAGGGGCAAAAAACAACTTTTGACACGTGTTTACAAAGTTAAGGGCAATAACTCAAAAAATGTTTATCAAAAATATCTCTTGTTAGAACTTGTCCGAGATCTTATCAATTCCAATGATCGCACCAAGTTTCATCAGAATCGGTTGAAAACTGTAGCCTCTATTGTGCTCACAAACAAATTTTAACGCGTTTTTCGTAAGTTAATGACATTAACTCAAAAACATTTCATCGAAAATGCGTCAAGTCAGAACTTGTCCGAGATCTTATCAATTTCAATGATCACACCAAGTTTCATCAGAATCGGTTGAAAACTGTAGCTTCTATTGTGCTCACGAACAAATTTTGACGCGTTTTTACAAAGTCAAGGGCAATAACTCGAAAACTGTTCATCAAAATTGCATCAAGTTAGAACTTGTCCGAGATCTTATCAATTCCAGTGATCACAACAAGTTTCATCAGAATCGGTTGAAAACTGTAGCGTCAATCCTGCTCACAAACTATTTATAGCAAATTTCGATGCATTTTAACAAAGTCAAGGGCAATAACTCAAAAACAGTTCATCGAAAATGTGTCAAGTTAAAACTTGACCGAGATCTTATCAATTCCAATGATCACACCAAATTTCATCAGAATCGATTGAAAACTGTTTTTCGTAAGTTAATGACATTAACTCAAAAACATTTCATCGAAAATGCGTCAAGTTAGAACTTGTCCGAGATCTTATCAATTCCAATGATCACACCAAGTTTCATCAGAATCAGTTGAAAACTGTAGCTTCAATCCTGCTAACGAACTATTTTTAACATATTTCGACGCGTTTTAACAAAGTCAAGGGCAATAACTCAAAAACAGTTCATCGAAAATGTGTCAAGTTAGAACTTGTCCGAGATCTTATCAATTCCAATGATCACACCAAGTTTCATCAGAATCGGTTGAAAACTGTAGCTTCAATCCTGCTCACAAACTATTTTTAACAAATTTTGACGTGTTTTTACAAAGTCAAGGGCAATAACTCAAAAACTGTTCATCGAAAATGTGTCAAGTTAGAACTTGTCCGAGATCTTATCAATTCCAATGATCACACCAAATTTCATCAGAATCGATTGAAAACTGTTTGTCGTAAGTTAATGACATTAACTCAAAAACATTTCATCGAAAATGCATCAAGTTAGAACTTGTCCGAGATCTTATCAATTCCAATGATCACACCAAGTTTCATCAGAATCAGTTGAAAACTGTAGCTTCAATCCTGCTCACAAACTATTTTTAACAAATTTCGACGTGTTTTAACAAAGTCAAGGGCAATAACTCAAAAACCGTTCATCGAAAATGTGTCAAGTTAGAACTTGTCCGAGATCTTATCAATTCCAATGATCACACCAAGTTTCATCAGAATCGGTTGAAAACTGTAGGTTCAATCCTGCTCACGAACTATTTTTAACAAATTTTGACGCGTTTTAACAAAGTCAAGGGCAATACCTCAAAAACCGTTCAAAAACCGTTCATCAAAAATGCGTCAAGTTAGAACTTGTCAGAGATCTTATGAATTCCAATGATCACACCAAGTTTAATCAGAATCGGATGAAAACTGTAGCTTCAATCCTGCTCACGAACAATTTTTAACAAATTTCAAGGCGTTCTAAGTCAAGGGCAATATCTCAAAAACCGCTCATCAAAAATATGTCAAATTCGAACTTGACCGAGATCTTATCAATCTAAAGCATCACACCAAGTTTAATCAAAATCAGATAAAAACTGTAGTCTCTATAGTGCTCACAAGAAATGTTGACGGACGGACGGACCAACGGACAGGGGCGACAACAATATACGACCACATATTCATGTGGGCGTATAAAAAGGGTGATACATTCAGGTTTGACCAACAAGGCAGAAAAGATAAATTGAAAGTAAGTTAAGTAGGATTCTGAACACTTATTCAGACAAAATTGTTAATATCTACGGAATATAATAGCACAGGACTTTTGATCTCTGCTCTTGAAAATATTGCCAATTTACCATCTGTAGTGGTACTTACTCTGAACAAGCCAAAAATAGTTCTTTTCTTGGAGTCTTTTGGCCCATGGCCTCTTTAATGGCTGACACTTGGTTTCCATTGACTTGGCTAATATATTGTTCCGACTGAAATAAGAATGACGAACTATTAGCTTATTTTCAGCAGCATTTGTCATAGACACCAGAACTTAAGGATCAGCAGGTCCAATATCAATTAAAATCTTAATTACACTCCATATTCTGCATCTAGATTTCAGACCAGCCTTTTCAGAAACATCGGTTCTCAATAACTACAGCAGAAACAAATAAATTAAAATAATGATTGCCACAACATACCTCTGAACACAAATATTTTTCATAAACTTCTTCTGCTTTTGCAAGACGTTTCTCATCTGGTGTAATATCATATTCATTCTGAAATAATAGTGTCATCTTATACAGTCGTTGTTTAAATTATTTTTAAATCAACTGGAGATATTGAAGAGTAAACCTAACAGTCCATCCATGGCAAGGAAAAAAGAAGCTATTGTCCTGTGCTCTTCTTGAGTCATACTTGAAACAAAATTAACATAAGGCTTTTTAAGGTCAAAGATGCAATAAGTTATAATGATACTGACGGCACCAAAAAATTTCGCAAGTTTTTTATGAGAATAGAATTGAATGATTAATTAACCCATAAATTAACACCATAGGATTAATAATAGTACAAATTTATCACACACAACCTATAATTGATTGAGCCAGAAATTAATTTTGTAACGACAAGGATAGTGCAACTAATAGTGGTTTTCTATATTTATACTAGCAGCTTTTATTGCAATTACAAAGCATCAATTGTTGTCCATTTGCATTTGGTTCATTTTTAGTCTATAGAGAATTTTAAGCAAACTTTATTGTATCGCATCATGACTAGTTTTTAACTCATGTTTTGATTCTTGCAAACAGACAGTAGATTGTGTAAAAAATATATGCATCTGAAAGATAAAGAATTGTGAATATTGAACACACTGCAAAACATTAAATCAATTCTTTACCCAAATATCAATCTTATGACAAAATTTGATTTATTTACAAACAAACAAAAATCAAAAGAGTACATCAAGAAATGTAGCCTGTAGGGTGAGCATGAGATGCACAATATATCTATTCGAGTGAAAACACTGAGGAGGACACAATATTTCAGGAAAAAATTATCAGATCATCACGAAAATCGACAGGGATCATCTTCATAAATGATTTTGACCTACAAAATAAAAATCAAAAGAATCCATAAAGAACTGTTGCGTGCAGAGTGGGCACAAGATGCACAATATAGCTAAAAGAGTAAAAACGCTAAGGAGGACACGATATTTCAGGAAAAAATTATCAGATCATCACAAAAATCGATAGAGATCATCCTCATAATGACATTAACCCACGAAAAAATCAAAATATAAGGATTTGTAAAGAATTGGAGCACAAGCCAAATGTGAACTGACCGACGGACAGCCAGGGTGATTATTATATACGCCCAAACTATATTTATGGGCGTATGAAAATATAGAAGGCTGTCTATTAAAAGTATGAACACTTCATAAATCATGACATGATATTCAAATTACACTTCATACTTAAATATGTCAACAACAAAATTACTTCCTTTTTATTCAAATTCACTGAATACAAATTAACTATTATATACCTAATAATAATAACCTTATATCATTGCATCAAATTTATACAGTTTTGAACAAACCTAACTTGAATACAACCTAGTCAAAAAATAACATATTTCAGAATTATTTGGATTACTTGCCACATCTATCTTGAAATTAGTAAAGGGGTAAAACTATTTGAAATTTTCACCCCTTTTCTCTAACACCTAGGAGAAAATAAAACTGTAAAATTTTACATCCCTACTTTTGGTTAACCATATGTTGTAGTTATGTGCAATATATTTATTGCTTCAAGCAAAAATACACGGTTATTTAGATGAATATTTAAAATATATCACAACGACTCA